ATATTCAAACTTCATCATGGTATCAGTAGAGCCATCCTCTAACGAGAACCCGAACCCCAATTCCCATAACCCAATCTCCACTCCACCCTCTCCCACTGAAATTCCCTTGATTGCCCTCCCTATCTCTGCCCATATCAACGAAAAGCTCACTCCTTCCACCTTCCCTCAATGGCATGCACAGTTTGAGGCTCTTCTTATTGGCTATAACCTTCTCGATTACGTTACTAGTGATCATCCATGCTCCTCAACCAATAACACCCCTGAATCCATCCTTAAAAAATCTCACTAGGTCAGGCAGGATAAACTCATCTTTAGCGCTCTTTTGGCTTCCACCACCCCTACAATAACCCCCTTCATCTCGACTGCCAAAACTTCAAAAGAGGCATGGACCAAACTAAATACTATGTATGCCAGCAAGTCGCACACCAGAGCTATGCAACTCAAAGAAGAGCTCACGATGATTCAACAGGAAAATAAAACAGTTCAGGAGTACCTTCATACCGTGAAGTCTCTTGCAGATGAGATTGCTCTAATTGATCATCCATCTCTGATGATGATCTCACTCTCTACATTCTCAATGGCTTAGGACCTGTTTTTCGTGAGATTGCCACCCCGATACGTGCCCGTGAAAAATCCCTCATGTTTGAGGAGCTTCATGACCTGCTCGTAGGCCATGAGGCATATCTCTGCCGTCTTGAAACCGCCACTCAGCAACTGGTGGCAACGAAAAACTTTTCCAGTCGCTCTGGTAGCAATCGCTCCAGTGCGGCTCCTTCAAATGGCAACACATGCTCTCGGGGCTTCAATAAGTCTCATGGAAGTAAGACTCAAATTAGGCCGAACAATAGAAAGCCTTTCTATAATGGAGGGAAACCCACAGGCCAACGCCGCTATCAGCCCAAATGCTGTGTGACCAGCTAGGCCATGTTGCCAAACAGTGTCCAAAACTGCACTTTTCGGAGCCCACTGCCAATTGTGTTTCCACCTCTCATCATAAGGATACCAAATGGTTAATTGATTCTGCTGCGTCTCATAATATTACAAGTGACTTGGCAAACTTATCAGTCCACTCGGAATATGATGGCACCGATGAAGTTGTAATTGGTGATGGTTCAGGTTTGCATGTCTCACACATTGGTTCTTTGGTTTTTCATTCTCCAACTTGTACTTTTCAATTAAGTGATACTTTATGTGTTCCAAGTATTCGCAAAAATTTAATATCTGTCCATCACTTTACTACCCAAAATCATGTTTTTATTGAATTTCACCCCTCTTACTTTCTTGTCAAGGATTAGATCATGGGGGTGACACTTCTCAAAGGTGCATGTGAAAACGGTGTGTATACGCTTCCGGACTCATTGGTGGGCTCATCTCCAAAAATGGTTGCAAATGTGCATGAGAGGACGTCAATTGATGGGTGGCACAAGCGGCTTGGGCATCCCTCTCACAAAATTGTAACCTATCTTGTTAATGTTTTTTCCCTTCCAATAAAAAAGAACATCAAGTGTCAACTCTTTGTACTTCTTGTTCTATCAATAAAGCCCATCAACAACCCTTTCATTTAACAAGTCTTAAAAGTCATGCACCTCTTGATCTTATTTACACAAATGTTTGGGGTCTTTCACATATTGTTGGTCTTGATGGGTCCCACTACTACTTAATTTTGGTTGACCACTTTACTAAATATATGTGGTTTTATCCCATACAAACCAAGTCAAGAGTTAGTAGCATCTTTCCTCAATTTAAAAATCTTGTTGAAACTAAGTTCAAGCCAAAATAAAGAGTATTTACTCGGACAACGGTGGTGAGTTTGTGGCTCTTAAATTTTTTTTTTTCAATACATGGTATTAGCCACTACACCACCGCTCCTCACACTCCCTAACAAAATGGCGTTGTTGAACACCGTCATCGTCATCTTATCGAAACAGGACTTACTCTTTTAAAGGATGTCGACTTACCACTCTCATATTGGCCTCATGCTTTTCAAACGGCCGTTTACCTCATAAATCGTCAACCAACCCCTCTTTTACAAAATAAATCTCCTTTTGAAAATTTGTTCAATCAACCACCAAATTATCGAAAATTAAGGAAATTTGGTTGTTTGTGTTTTCCCCTAACCCGACCTTACAATACTCACAAGCTTCAGCCCAAAGCAAGCCCCTGTATCTTTTTAGGCTACTCTCAAACTCAGAGTGCATATAGGTGCATGGACTTACAAACCAAGAGAATTTATCTCTCACGGCATGTCCTTTTTCACGAAAAACAAAAGCCCTTTTCTTCTTCACCTGCGGCTCCACTCGACAACTCCTCTACCCTGTCGCGGTTGCCCATCACGCCGCCTCAAATACCGCAACCACCACCATTGCAAATGGACGGTGCACTCGCTTCCTCATCACCTTCAGAATCGCTTCCTCTCATCGACTTCCAAATGCCACCCAGTCAATCTGAATCTCTCCCTCAGTATGTAGACAATCAATCAACCCATGACACATCTCGCCCCCATTCCATGACCACACGCTCGATGAACAACATCTACAAACCAAAGCAATTTCATTCGGTCTCAAAACACCCCATTCCACCCACCATTGAACCAACTTGTGTGAGTCAAGCAATCCGTGATCCGCAATGGAGGAGTGCCATGTCTGATGAGTTAACGGCACTAATGAGACATCACACGTGGGACTTGGTTCCCCCAACCCCTCACTGTCAACCAGTGGATTGCAAATGGGTGTTTAGAGTCAAAAGCAAATCAGATGGGTCTGTTGATAGGTTCAAAGCGAGACTTGTCGCCAAGGGTTTCAATCAACGCCCTGGGTTGGATTACAATGAGACATTTAGTCTGATTGTAAAACCCACAACAATACGGACTGTTCTGACCATTTCTATGATGCACAGGTGGTCTTTGCAACAACTAGATGTTAACAATGCGATTTTGCATGGAAAATTGAATGAAACTGTATATATGATTCAACCCCCTGGTTTCAAAGATTTGTCAAAACCTAATCATATTTGCAGGTTATAAAAGACCATTTATGGTCTTAAACAAGCTCCAAGGGAATGGTATTTGGATTTAAAGAAAAAAATTATGGAGTTTGGGTTTGAAAATTCCAAAGCCGACAGCTCTTTGTTCATCTATAAAACTGCCTCTGTTTTATGCTTCTTGTTGGTATATGTAGATGATTTGGTCATCACTGGCAGCAACAATAAGTTTGTGAGCTCAATCATTGAACAACTTGGAGTCTCTTTCTCCCTAAAGGACATGGGGTCTCTTCACTTTTTCCTTGGCATGGAAGTCATTCCCACCACAGTTGGACTTTTCTTGTCTCAGCATAAATATATACATGACATTCTCTCAAAAACAAACATGCTCGGTGCCAAAGAGGTGTCCACTCCATTGTCCACCACAACAACTCTCACACTTATTGATGGCACTTCCTCTGTGGACAGCACAAAATTTCGGCGTGTTATAGGCGGACTTCAGTACCTCTCTCTTACACGTCTAGACATATCATTTGCTGTCAACAAACTTTCACAATTCATGCATAAACCCACTGCTACGCACTGGACAGCAGCAAAGAGACTCCTACGATATTTGAAGCATACCATTTATCATGGTATTCACATCCGCAAAAGCTCTAGCTCCAATCTAATTACTTATACCGATGCTGATTGGGCCGGCAACTATGATGATAGAAGCTCAACATCTGCCTATATTTGCTTCCTTGGTTCCAATCCAATTTCTTGGAGTTCAAAAAAACAAAGGGCTGTTGCAAGATCATCCACTGAAGCGGAATATAGAGCCCTTGCAAATGCTGCCTCTGAAACCATCTGGTTACTGTCCCTATTTCAGGAACTCAGCCTGACTCTCTCTTCTTCATCAACATTGCTTTGTGACAACTTGGGTGCCACCCAACTCAGTTTTAATCCCGATCAACACTCTCGGATGAAGCACATTCAAATAGATCTACACTTTGTTCGAGATATGGTTCAGAAAGGCATGCTGACAGTTCATCATGTAAACACTCGAGATCAGCTTGCTGATCTCCTCACCAAGCCCTTGTCCAAACAACATACTGAACAACTAAGCTTCAAGATTGGACTTGCCAATGGCAGCCCTATCTTGTGGGGCGTATTAGAGATAATTCCATAGATCATGGACTAAATCTAACCACAGAAGAATAGCCAATAATCAAGGACAACTGATTGGACTAATCTCAAGAATCAAGGCTCACAACGGTTACAATCTTCACAGCCACAATTATAGCTAGCTTTCCTAGAATAACTTTTAAATTCTCTGTATATATTTAGCACTGTATTCGTTTGTATTATAGTGAGAAATATTGTAATCAGTTTTATCAATATACTGTCAATATTCAAACTTCATCATGGTTTCTGTGGGAAAGTTATCAACCAAGTCCAAAGTCTCACGTCAATTGATTTGCTAACCTAGCAGATATTCTTCTAAGTTTGAACAAAGTCCAGCTTCATTATTTGTCAAATTGACCAAACTGCTTATTGGTTTGACTGCCAAATAACTCCACCTGAATCTTAATCAAAGATTCAGGTGGAATTCAATCTACTCACCTCTACAAGGTCCGTGCATCTTACAAATAACTAAAGACGACTTCTTTTTATTTCAACTTAAATTATATTCAAAGGAGCTTCCAAATAATGTTTAAATTTTGAACTCTTTTTTTACTAGTCCTAAATCATAAATGTGATACACGATTATTAAAACATAATAACGTGTCTTCTGAACTTCGAATAGATACATAAATACAAAACGCTTTCAGGAAATGTGATGATTTTTATTTTTATTTAGTACTGAGAACTGAGAAGTATGTTAAGTTCATTCTTTCTTGCCGATGTTTTTTTTTTAAAAAAAAAAAAGAATCTGAATCTCTGCACTTGAGAAATTTCAATATGTACGGTGATTTATTAAAAGCTAAATCTTGTTGAACAAGGAAAAAGAATAAGCGAGAACAAAAACAGTAGTTTCACTAATCATAATCATAATCTTCAACAGAAATGCTCAGCTCCTTCTCCTTCCACGTCCCAGAATCATTACTCTCATTGCCCAAAAACTGTGTTTCAAAGCCCTGAATTCCACCACTTTCATTAACCTCCACCGCCTCTTTAAACGACTTGCTCGCAATCATCTGCGCATCGATGCCCATCCCGGCATCCGAAGCAGCTTTCTGTACAGACTTCGGTGACAAGGCTACATACGCACACCTCGCAGGCAACAGTTGAGGGAAGTTAAGGCTATCCAAAGACGGCGGTCTACGTAAACAATAGAAAGCAACGTCGTGGGCAACCGCAGCCGCCTCTGCCGTAGCATAGGAGCCTAACCAGAGCCGCTCTGTTGAACCTGGAACCCTGATTTCCGAGACCCATTTGCCCCATTTTCGTCTGCGAACTCCCTTGTACTTCTTTTCAGCCATGCTTGGACCACTCTCTGATCTGTTGTTTAGGCTACTTGATTGCATTTCAGAAGTGTTTATAGAATTTTTAAGTACTATTTTTCGGGATAAAGTTGACAAAAATGTATAAGCTTTAAGGGTGAAGAAGCTTGAGAATATGCTGATTTGGAGAAGAAGTAAAGCAAGAGCTTGTATATATAGGTTGAAGAAGAGAAAGTCAGAGGCCAACTGGAGCCAGTGGTATTATAATTTATAGGACGGTGAGAAAGTCAAGATTTCCAAAGGTCAAAATAAGAGAAAGTTTTATCCAATGAAAATAAGGGCTGTGATTGATTGAGCAAGTCCAAGTTTGAGAAGACAATGCACAAGCCAAAACATTGGTTATTTTGAAAAGTCAATGACCCACAAAACCTTTTGGAAAACGAATAGTAATCTACACAAAACTAAACTGTTCTCCATAAAATTAACATTAGAGTGGTAAATGATCTTTTAATATCCATTTACGTGGAAATCACTAATTTACCCTCATTTTTTAATACAAAACCTTATATCATCCCGTCTTTTGTCGAGCCAAGCTCGAGATCCAATGGCTCAAGTGTCGAGTCGAGCTTGAGCTCTTCAATACTCAGCTTGAACAGCTCGCGGTCTTTGCTGAGCTCGACAGCAAGATATATGCAACTTTTACAACTATTAGGGGGTATAGAAATTATCATTTCACATATAAAATTGAAAAAATTCCCAAAAACCCTAGCTTCTTTTTCTTCATCTCCAGACTCACTTCTCCTTTTTTTTTTTTTCTTCTTTCTCTTTCCTTCTTCTTCACTTTCTTCTTTCTTCTCCTTCTCTCTTTTTCTCCTTCTTCTCTTTCTCTCCCCCTTTGATCGCCTAAGCCGTAGTAGGGTATAAAACTACTACTCACATCGCTGTTCTTGGCCAATCAACTTGATGAAGTGCAATTGTTCTAAACCTCGGTAAAACGCCTATGATGCGAGTAAATCTCCTTATGGCTTTGACACTAGTGCTTATAGGTATACTTAGTAAATTAGGGAAACTTGTTTGACTCATCAAATTCAACTTGCTTTGTCTTTGCCTCTGTTGTTGGCTCTCTATCTCGCATTTGAATGGCTACTAGCTTTGAACTTCATTTTGATCTTCTAAGGCCGGAACCCAATCTCAATCAACAGGCTTTGTCTCCCTAGCTTGAGCTCTTCATGTTCATGCCGAGCCAAGCTCAAGCACCCCAAAGCTCAGCTTAGTTCAGCTTGATAACACCCCTAGTTTTCACATTAATTTTTATTCTATTTTAAATGGATTATGTATTTTACTTCTTTTAAATGTTAATAAATTGTATTTCACCGAACAAGTTGATTGTGCATTTTGATTTTTAGGGTGAAGATTCAAATCACCTATCTTTATTCTAAGATGGGTAATCTTGTAATTGTACAAAATTTAACACTTTAATCAATGGAAGTCTAGGTCTTCGTTAGTTTTTAAAACGTTAAGAGGTCATTGTATTTTCACAAAATCTAATACAGGCCTATTAATTTTCCCTTTAAAAAAAAGGGTAACAAAAAGTTTTCCCTATTAAAATCAGTACTTTTTTGTATAGAAAAAATAAATAAATAAATAACGTGCTCAATCATTCATGAAGAACGTACTTGCGTATATTCCTGCGATATACTGCCGCATGGTTAATTTTCTCTAGGTGAAAATCTTTTATAAACACGTGCATATTTAGTAAAACACGTTAAAGAAGGAAATGCTGGAACCCGTGGGGCAAGGTGTCAAGGCATGCAATACTTGGCGGCTTGGCCCTTGGGTTGCCATAAAGGCAAGACAAAAATGTTTGGGGAAGTAAAATGAAAGTAAGACTTATTTTGTAAATTAAATATATATTTAAAATTATTAATTAATATATAACAAAGTTCTCATTCAAAATTTCATTTAAATTTTTATTAGGACTTTTTTTGGATTTTTTTAAAGTGCAAACCAAAAATTTTCAAAAGTCAAAGTAAGAGAAAGGCTTTTCCAATTAAAAAAAAAGAAAGGGACGTTGCTCAAATGTGCAACTTCAAGTTGGCCCCAAAATTAAATGTTGGGAGACATGGAAATTTGAAAAATTATGATACTTTGTGGTAAAGGTCCATTAGCCAAAAATTGAGTTAAACTTAATGACATTTTCTCATCCTCAGACTTTTAAAATACTTCTGTATTATATAAATATTATGTTTCTCTTTGGTTTGAGTGTGAAATACAGTGATTTATGAGGTGAAAAAAAACATCTCTTTTTCCTCTCTTCTTAGCCTCTTCTATTATCGGCAATTGATGTCAACATTGGAGAGAGTCGGTGTCCAGAAAATCAAAAAACAAGCCACAAGTACTGCAAATAAACACTTCTCTATCGTCTTTCAAGTGTCAACCCAACAAACACAAAAACTGAACGAATCAAATCCAATTAATCGATCAAAACTTGAAAAATCATAAGGTGGGGAAGCTTCAATCGTCAACGATTGGTAAGCAAACAGGATTAGGAATGTTAGGGCTTTTAGAGAGGAAGGTCCACGCAGTTGATTGGTGGTGATATGGATGATTTCCAATAACGGAATCGATCGGAAAAGCACGTCGTTGGTTCCCATGATTCTTGCTCTTTGCTGACCGATTCCAGCATCAGCAATCCATTTTGAGACCACCAATCAACTCATTGACCCCCCATCTCAAAAACCCCAAACCTTCCCGACGCCAATTGCACATCGTTCACCGCTCTCAACCACCTAGGATTTTACTGTTTTTGCACCGATTCCACCTGATTTCGGCGGCCAAAATCTAATCTTCCACCATACTTTCAACCCCCAATCTTTTCTTTTCAAAACCCCTCAAACTCCAGTACTTGATTACTCACTGTTCGTGAATAGCCGTTCTCTACTGTTGGATGTCCTTTGGAATTTTCATTTTTGATTTCAAATGCAAATATTTGTTGACCATTATGTCCTCATTTGTAACGGACTTTTGACCATTTTATCAATCCCCACAACAAAATTACAAACAAAATTGTGTTTTGAGTATTAAAATGGTTTGTTAAAAGTCTGAGGGTAGGAAACTATCATTAAGCTTTTGTTCACATGGGAAAAAGTCGTTAACTCGATAAAAAATAATGTCGGAATACCACGTCAATATAGGTATATATTTTCTGACACTACTCTCTTGCATCGGTAGACTTATTCCCCAACCAGCTTTTTTCGGTGTTTGAATGATACAGGTGCCGGTGTAGGAGAATTCTTTGAGTGACGCGCCGATATAGATATATATTTGCGCATTTTAGAAAGTCATTTTTAATGATGTTATTAAATATGTAAAGTTTCAGATTAAGTATAGAGTGATTTTATTATTACAAAATTATAAAAATTAAATATTTAAGATAAAGATGTTAAAAATTGAGGTAAATTTCTTTGATGTAAAGCCATTGCCCTACAATAACGTCAGATAACTAGAAATAAAAAAATGTGTCAGATGTGTTTTAACTTGAATTGCCGTTTAAAGGACTGAATAAATAGCTAGTTTGTTCATCATAAACAATTCTTTTCATAAAGCCCCTTAGCTGAATTGGTCAAACAGTCAAATATTTATAGTTTGAGTCGATTACAACCTTGAACCTCCAGCTGAATCTTAATTAATCAGTATGAATCAAGATATGATTAGGTCATTAATACAAGATGTAAACTTCACTGCATGTCGACCTACTATTTTCTTAATTAAACTAAGTTTTGATGAAAAAAAAACAGAAGATCGAACTAGTAATTGAGATAACTATAATCTTCAACAGTTCGATAACTATAATCTTCAACAGCTCCCATAATCATAACTCTGATGATCACTTCCCCAAATGGCGTCCCCCGGCTCTGAATTGCACCGCTTTCTTTCTCCTCCCTTTCATCTTTTCCCGATCTACTTCCTATCATTTGTGCATCTATCCCCATTCCAGCATCCGACGCAGCTTTTCGCACGGACTTCGGCGACATAATATTCGCGTTCACACAACTGGAAGGCAGCACTTCGGGGAAGTTAAGGCCTGAAAAAGACAGCGGACGACGGAAACAATAAAAAGTGACGCCATGGCCGACTGCGGCCGCCTCCTGCGTAGCGTAGGAGCCTAACCAGAGTCGCTCTTACGAGCCTGGAACCCTTAACTCAGATACCCATTGGCCCCATCAGCCATGTTGGACCACTCTCTTCTCTTCTGTTTCTCATTCTTTTTTGGGTTGCTGAGGTTGACAAACATATATAAGCTTTAAGTCAGTGGCCAACTAGAGCTAGTGGCATTGGAAGAGGGTGAGAATCCAAAGGTCAAAACAAGAGAAAGGTTTATCCAATGAAAACAATAGGACGGTGCTTGATTGAGCAGTTCAACGTCAACATTAAATGTTGAGACATGGAATTTTAAAAAGGGTTATTATCCCCAAACTCCCAAGAGGTTTGAGTACCTTTGAGGTATGAAATAATATTTCTTATATTTGGAAAATGGTCTCACATACATCCTCTGGTCCGAGTTTATTAATGGTTAACAAAAATTGACCAGGGCTAAAGTTGTAAAATGACAAGTTTTGTGCAATTCAACAGAAAACTCACTCCATCTGCCACAGACGTACACTGTCACAACCATCGCTACTGGCAATACCTCCATTATAAATCGTCTCGCTGTCAAAACCAATAGAAACGCCACAACCACATGCCACAAAATCCAACCATGCAATCGACAGGAAAAAATCTTGCCCGTAAAATAGTCCAAGTGCTGTCAGGACAATAGGAGTATTATCCAACCAAAATAGTTCCTGAAAAAGAATTGACGCACCACCTAAAAGCCAGAAAACGTCAAATCTCGCCGGACAATGACACGAGTAATGGTGCCAGCACCATAAAACTCGCCACCTCAAATCTACCTAATGGTACCACTCTCATCATTTAAGGAGTTTCTAATCATTTTTACTTAAGAATGTAAAAAATGTGTAACTTTCATCTTTTGAAGCGCAAACATGTGTTACTATTTTCCTTTACTTGAAAGCTACAAGGAGAGGTGTAGGATGGCAATTTTCAAAACGTAAAGGGAGGTAAGGGATCTTCTTTCATAATTCTGGGACTGATTGGTGAAAATCAAAACTGATAACTCTTTCAATATCAGTACTTCGTGTTCAATGATTCAAAAAGAAAGAATTTTCCATTATATTTCTTCAATATATTCCAACTTTCTCTAGGTGAGAATCTTTTCATAAACACGTGCGTGTTTAGTTAAATACGTTAAAGAAGGAAATCCTGCAACCCGTGGAGAAAGGTGTAAAGGCGATTCGTGGACCTTGAGTTGCCATTGAAAATAGATTTAAAAATATTAATCAATTAATATATATACAATCGTAATTTTGTTTATATATTAATGTTCACATGTTTATATATTAAATAATGTTATAAATTTGAGATATGAATGTAAATGTTATAAATTAAGGTAAAATCAGATGATAAGATTTAGCAGCCAAATATGGGAATTAAAGAATGTGTCAGAAGTGCTTTAACTAGAATGGCCGTCAGAAAGACTCAAGGAATATATCATCAATTCTTGGTCTAATATAAAGATTTTTATGATTTTTTTTTTCAGTTGAATCGTTTCAGTCCACTACCAGCAAAGCATATTTGTCGAGTTTATAAGTCGTCTAATCATCGGGCAGACATACTGACGTTTAATATATGGTTTTGATATTTCACATATTAAATTATAAAATTTAATAGCTTAATTAGTTGTTAAGTAATTAGAAAATATATATTTAATTAAGAAAAGAAGTTGCCGACTTATTAATAAAAATAGATTCTAATTCTAGAGAGATGCTAAATTGGTCAAACAGTCTAATATTAATAATTTGACTCGCTTATAACCTCCAGCTGAAACTTAATTATTAATCAGTGTGAATCAGTATGGTCACTAATACAACAGTGCTACATCTTTCAAACTTAAAGTTAAACGTGCATTTCAATGGATGTTTTAACATGTAAACACAATTTTTAATGTAATTCTTTTTAGTTCTAAATCATAAAGCTGATACACATTCTATATTTATTTTAAACCATAAACATGGTAAAGTCCGGGCAATAAAATCTGAAAAGACTTATAAACGACGTGATATAATACAACACAAACCTTAACATTCTAAATTTTCAACATAAATACTAAAAAAATGGTAAAAATATGCAGAATATCCATTAATTAGTATCATTAATCATCCTTCTAATATTTACAATATACAATAAAGATTCAAAAGCCCTCAAGACTTCACTGCGTGTGCTACTATTTTCTTTATTAAACTAAAATAAATCCTAAAGAACAGGAACTAGTAATTGAGATAACCATAATCTTCAACTGAAATGCTCAGGTCCTTCTCTCTCCTATAATCATAACTTTGATTATCATTCCCCCAAAGCGGCGTCTCCATGCTCTGAATTACGCCGCTTTCATTCACCTCCCTTACATCTTTTCCCGATCTACTCACTTTCATTTGTGCATCTATCCCCATTCCAGCGTCGGAGGCAGCTTTTTGCACGGACCTTGGTGACATAACATTCGCGTTCACACAACTGGGAGGCAGGAGTTCGGGGAAGTTAAGGCCAGACAACGACAGCGGTCGACGTAAACAATAAAAAGCGACGTCGTGGGCGACTGCGGCCGCCTCCTGCGTAGCGTAAGAGCCTAACCAGAGCCGCTCTTGTGAGCCTGGAACTCTTATCTCTGACACCCATTTTCCCCATTTTCTTCTGCGTACTCCCTTGTATTTCTTCTCCGCCATACTTGAACTATTCTCCTCTGAGCAGCTGCTCATCATCAAGCTCCTATAAAAGCTTTTAATTTAGAGATTTAGAATGCTATGTCTTGGTAGAGTAGAAAGAAGAGGTTATATATAGGTTAAGAAGAGACGACAGTTGGAGGGAAGAAGCCACTAGCAAATTAAGGCAGGTGATTAGATAATTAATTAAAAATTTGTCAACCGGGTTTTATTGAAAGATAGAGAGGGTCAAGATTTTCAATGGTCAAAGGAGGAAAGGTAAAGGTTTTATCTAAGGAAAAATGTGGACGGTGCTTTATGGGCAAATCCAAGTTGGCTCTGAGAGAGACAGGACTAGAAGCCACAAACCATAACTTTAATTAAATGTGGAGCCATGGGCATTGAAGCAAAAACGTGTTGAGTAATTTGAAGCAAAAGTAGTGTTAGAGGGAGAGGAGAGGTCAACGCTGAAAATCTGCTTCCCTCATGCATGATGTCATTTGACATTCTGTATAAGTTAATGGGGGGAAATAAGGTTTTGAAAGTAGGGGGTGAAAACGACATCACCCGGTCTCACTCGTCGACATCATATATCACCATTATCCAATGACTTTGATTAATCCCCTGTAATTTTATTAACAAACAAGAATCCCCGTGACGTTTTTGAGATGACAAAAAATTCCCTATCATTAAGTTTTAGATGTTAAAATAAATGGCAAAAGACCAATTTGATTATTATTTATAAATTCACAATAGTGTATATTCAACGGGTTACTAAAGATCAAATGTTTTTATTATTTCCGAAACCTCAAGAGAATCTTATAATGCATCAAGCCATAGATGTCTTTTAACTCTTATCTATTTCTCTCACTGATTTTTGGTATCATAGCAATATTATGGCTCGGTGACATGTTTAGGGGTACTAATCCCTAAATTGGAATCTAAAGATTTAGAATTGTAAAAAAAAATTAAAGAAAAAAATCAACTCTTTTGGATCCATAACAATTCCTCAATTAGAGTGATAGGTCACCTTGAAGGTTCGATATTATACATTATCAAATTGATAACATATTTAGGATTTGAAAAATGCTTAAAAATCATGTGTAACTTATAGTGTTTAAAAACTCGGCCCGCCTCGACCGGTTCAACTGGGACCCCAACGATCATCTGCGCATCGATGCCCATCCCGGCATCCGAAGCAGCTTTCTGTACAGACTTCGGTGACAAGGCTGCATCCACACACCTCGCAGGCAACAGCTGAGGGAAGTTAAGGCCATCCAAAGACGGCGGTCTACGTAAACAATAGAAAGCAATATCGTGGGCAACCGCAGCCGCCTCTGCCGTAGCATAGGAGCCTAACCAGAGCCGCTCTGTTGAACCTGGAACCCTGATTTCCGACACCCATTTGCCCCATTTTCGTCTGCGAACTCCCTTGTACTTCTTTTCAGCCATGCTTGGACCACTCTCTGATCTGTTCTTTAGGCTATTTGATTGCATTTCAGAAGTGTTTATAGATTTTTTAAGTACTATTTTTCGGGATAAAGTTTACAAAAATGTATAAGCTTTAAGGATTGAAGGAGCTTGAGAATATGATGATTTGGAGAAGAAGTAAGGCAAGAGCTTGTATATATAGGTTGAAGAAGAGAAAGTCAGAGGCCAACTGGAGCCAGTGGTATTATAATTTATAGGACGGTGAGAAAGTCAAGATTTTCAAAGGTCAAAATAAGAGAAAGGTTTATCCAATGAAAATAAGGGTTGTGATTGATTGAGCAAGTCCAAGTTTGAGAAGGCAATGCACAGGCCAAAACATTACTTGTTTTGAAAAGTCAATGACCCACAAAACCTTTTGGAAAACGAATAATAATCTACACAAAACTAAACTGTTCTCCATAAAACTAACATTAGAGTGGTAAAGGATCTTTAATATCCGTTTATGTGAAAATTACTAAATTACCCTCATTTTTTAATACAAAACCCTAAATCATCCTATCTTTTGTCGATCCAAGCTCAATATCGAGTAGCTTAAGTGTCGAGTCAAGCTTGAGCTCTTCAATACTCGGCTTGAGCAGCTCACGGCCTTAGCTGAGCTCGACAGCTAGATATATGCAACTTTTACAACTATTAGGAGTATAGTAATTTATCATTTCACATATAAAATTGAAAAAATTCCAAAATCCCTAGCTTCTTTTTCTTCATCTCCGGGCTCACTTCTCCTTTTTTTTTTTTTCTTCTTTCTCTTTCTTTCTTCTTCACTTTCTTCTTTCTTCTCCTTCTCTCTTTTTCTCCTTCTTCTCTTTCTCTCCCCCTTCGATCACCTAAGCCATAGTAGGGTATAAAACTACTACTCACATCACTGTTCTTGGCCAATCAACTTGATGAAGTGCAATTGTTCTAAATCTCGGCAAAACGCCTATGATGCGAGTGAATTTGCTTATGGCTTTGAAACTAGTGCTTATAGGTATACCTAGTAAATTAGGGAAACTTGTTTGATTCATCAAATTCAACTTGCTTTGTCTTTGCCTCTATTGTTGGCTCTCTATCTTGCTTTTGAACGGCTACCAGCTTTGAACTTCATTTTGATCTTCTAAGGCTGGATCCCAATATTGATCAACAGGCTTTGTCTCACTAGCTCGAGCTCTTCATGTTCACGCCGAGCCGAACTCAAGCACCCCAAAGCTCAGCTCGGTTCGGCTTGATAACACCCCTAGTTTTGACATTAATTTTTATTCTATTTTAAATGGATTATGTATTTTACTTCTTTTAAATGTTAATAAATTGTATTTCACCCAACAGGTTGATTGTGCATTTTAATTTTTAGGGTGAAGATTCAAATCACCTATCTTTATTCTAAGATGGGTAATTTTGTAATTGTACAAAATTTAACACTTTAATCAACGGAAGTCTAGATCTTCGTTAGTTTTTAAAACGTTTGGAGGTCATTGTATTTTCACAAAATCTAATATAGGCCTATGTAATTTTCCCTTTTAAAAAAAAGGGGTAAGAAATACTTGTATAGAATAAATAAATAAATAACGTGCTCAATCATTCATGAAGAACGTATTTGAGTATATTCCTACGATATACTCCCGCACGGTTAATTTTCTCTAGGTGAAAATCTTTTATAAACACGTGCATATTTAGTAAAACACGTTAAAGAAGCAAATGCTGGAACCCGTGGGCCAAGGTGTCAAGGCAATACTCGGCGTTTGGCCCTTGGGTTGCCATAAAGGCAAGACAAAAATGTTTGGGGAAGTAAAAATGAAAGTAAGACTTATTTTGTAAATTAAATATATATTTAAAATTATTAATTAATATATAATCAAAATGCTCATTCAAAATTTCATTTAAATTTTTATTAGAAGGAATTTTTTGAATTTTTTTAAAGTGCAAACCAAAAATGACGACTAATAGTTAATTTTTATTTTATATTTTGTGAAATCAACGATTAATCATTCACCTTTAAACATATTTAAAAAAAAAAAAAAACACTCCAATGTCAGAAAAATGTTCGTTATATGTTACACAAAACTCATTCATATACTTTTATATAAATTAACTAATAAATAAAAGTATATGAATCCGATGAGCAAAAGAGTAAAAGAAAAAAACTACTTGAGATAATCGCAGTCATAATCTTTAAAGACGGCGGTCTACGTAAACAAGCTTAGAGTTATATGATGAATATAGGCTAAAGAAGAGAAAGTCAGACACAAACTGGTTGTATGATTTTTGGGTATTTGATTTAGTTGGAAGAAGGGAGAATCAGAAAGCCAAAATTTTCAAAGGTCAAAGTAAGAGAAAGGTTTATCCAATTAAAACAAAAGGACGTTGCTCGAATGGGCAAGTTCAAGTTGGCCCCAAAATTAAATGTTGGGAGACTTTGGAAATTTGAAAATTTATGATACTATGTGGTAAAGGTCCATTAGACAAAAATTGAGTTAATGACTTTTTCCCACGGAAAGAAAAGCTTAATGACATTTTCCTATCCTTGGACTTTTAATATACCTTTTTACTATCTAAATATTTTGTTTCTCTCTGATTTGGGTGTGAAATACAGTGATTTACAAGAGAAATTTTTTTTTTTTTTTCTTCTCTTCTTAGCCTCTTCCATTATCGGCAATTGATGTCAGCATTAGAGAGTGCCGGTGACCAGAAAATCAAAAAACAAGCCACAAGTACTGCAAATAAACACTTCTCTATCGTCTTTCAAGTGTCAACCCAACAAACACAAAAACTGAACGAATCAAATTCAATTAATCGATCAAAACTTAAAAAACTATAAGGTGGGGAAGCTTCAATCGTCAACGATTGGTAAGCAAACGAGATCAGGAATGTTGAGGCTTTTAGAGAGGAAGGTCCACAGAGTTGATTGGTGGTGATATGGATGATTTCTAATAACAAAATCAGTCGGAAAAGCACGTTGTTGGTTCGCATGATTCTTGCTCTTTGTTGACCGTTCTAGCATCGACAATCCATTTTGAGACCACCAATCAACTCACCGACCCCCCATCTCAAAAACCCCGAAAACCTTCCCAACGCCAATTGCACATCGTTCACCGCTCTCTACAGCCTAGGGTTTCACTGTTTTTGCGCCAATTCCACCTGATTCCGGTGGCCAAAATCCAATCTTCCACCACACTTTCAACCCCCGCTCTTCTCTTTTCAGAGCCCCTCAAACTCTAATACTTGATTACTCACTGTTCGTGAATAGCCATTCTCTACCGTTGGCTGTCCTTTGGAATTTTAATTTTTGATTTTAGGTGCAAAATATTTGTTGACCATTCTGTCCTCATTTGTAACGGACTTTTGACCATCTTGTCATTCCCCACAACAAAAATTACAAACAAAATTGTGTTTTGGGTACTAAAGTGATATGTTAAAAGTTTGAGGGTAGGAAATATCACTAGCTAGCCTGATGGTACTCACCTCTCTTGTCACAAGTACTTAGCTTACAGGTCTTGTGTTCAAGAGGTGGGGAAGGCAAAAGAAACCCACTTGCAGGGGTGGGGATATTCCTATGAGTGGGCCGTATGGGAAAGCCCCTTGCCCGACGGCCCAAGGGCGGGGTATTTGAGGGATAGCCCATGGTCTCACAGAATGAACGGAGATCTGGGCTACCAGAGTATGCACGAAGGAATGATCCACCAGACTACACCGTGCGGGATGACCCAACGGAATATGCCAAGGACGATGCAATGGTTGAACCAGTCAAATGGGATGATCTAGTGGTATCCACCTCTCCTATGGAACAGGTACTGGCCAAGAGGCTGGTTGATGTAGAGGCAGTGATGAGGTGCATCCTAAGAATGTCGGTCCCGACCAAGAAGAGCAGGCCTCACTGTTACGCGGATTCACCCTTTGTGGACGAGATCGCCCTAGCCAACATGCCTCAGAAGTTTACTATTCCCAGCATGAAACCCTACGACGGCACAACCGACCTAGATGATCACATAGCCTCTTACAAACAGCGGATGTTCACTGTCTCAATACCTCGAAGGGTGAGGGAAGCCTGTATGTGTAAGAGTTTTGGTTCAAGTTTATCCGGTCTAGCACTTTAGTGGTACACAAATCTCCCAAACAGTTCCATTGACTCATTCGCTCAGCTCACCGACACCTTTGTGGAGCAGTTCGCCAGTAGCAAGAAACTCGAGAAGCTGTCGGCCGATCTATACAGAATGTACCAAAGAAGGAGAGAGCCACTGTGAGAGTATGTCAGCAGGTTCAACAAAGAGAAGATCTTCATCCTTTCATGTAACCCCGAGACAACAGTAGATGCCTTCAGGAAGGGTCTCCTCCTGGATGGAGAACTATACAAAGAACCGACGAAGCTGGGTTGCACCACGATAGAAGACGCTCTGGCCCGAGCAGTGATCCAGATAAGGTGGGAGGAAGATGAGATGAACTGAGCAACTTACGCCAGATATGACTGAGTGCAGAATGACAGGAGGCCAAAGCTCAGATCGATTGCAGGCCCGACAAGATCACCAAAGCAGGGAAGGGCGTCTATCATCTCCAAAAGGCAAAGACATCAGCAACAATTGGAATGCAATCCATCCCACACGCTACTACTTTTAGGTGAAATCAATCTAAATATTGGTTGTCTTTTCATTTTTTATTTAAAAAAGATGAGTGGGCCCATCCACCTCCTTCATAGATAATCGGTCTCATGGCCCGAATTCAATGAAGCATTATTCAGCAACACCTTCGAATTAGCCCTGACCGATTCATGGGTTTTCACACTTCAGATCGACCCTGCTCGATCAAATGTTTGTTACACCTTCAGATCGACCATGCTCGATCCACGGAACAACACCGTTGGATCGACCTTGGTCGATCCACAGATATACATCTTCGAAATCAACCCTGCTCTATCAAATGTTAATTACACCTTCGGATCGACCTTGCTTGATCCACAGATTTGCATCTTCGGATTGACCCTGCTAGATCCACATAATTACACCTTCGGATCGGCCCTACTCGATCCACGGATTTGCATCTTCAGATCAACCCTGCTCGATCAAATGTTTGTTACACCTTCGGATCGGCCCTGCTCGATCCATGGATTTGCATCTTCAGATCAACCCTGCTTGATCAAATGTTTGCTACACTTTCGGATCG